AGCCTCATGGCTGGCTGCTGCGAGCCACTCCATTACCACTTTCATATAGTCGTAAACTGCATTTCCTTATACGATCATAAAAATCAAACGCAAATTGCTGTCGGGCAAAATTTAGTGTTGTTGCCACTAAAAAAGCTAAACGCCCTATAACTCGCATGTGTATACACATGTACAGGCATATGTATTAACGTGTTTATTGAAAATTGTGACAAGAACCCATAAGCAAGCAAGAAGGAAGCTTTCCCTCTACAAATTCTAAGTGCCGTTTTTTTACAAAAATATCGATAGTTATTCAGTGAACTGTATTCGGCAGAAAATAGAGAGCTCAATTCATGGTACTCCCGATGCAGCTAAAGAGAACCGCTGCCACTAGTTTTTAGATAATAATTCGTTGTCTCCAAAATCACCTTTTGTGAATTTGCAAGCTGTATTTTTCTCGAGATATTTCAAAAAAAAATAAAAATGTCTATCTAATAAAATTTTGAAAAGCGTATTTTTCTAAAAATTTCTAAGTACACCTACTTTTGGAAAGCGCCGCACAACTACAAACTGCAAAACATCGAGATCTGTGAATGGTTCAAAGTACTCTTGGAGTTCTGATTTCGTAGGAAATTCCCTTTTCCCATTTTCTGTAAGCACGATTTATGATCATTTGTTTTTTTTTTCTTGTAAAGATTTTTATACCTAAAGTCAAAGAAACTATTGAAATGCATAGTGAAATCCATTTTTTGTTTTGCAATTTTTATGTCAAACAGAATCAGCCACAACCCCAAAATATAAGTTATCACTAAATTATTAAAATTTTCAAAATTTTTATCCGCCTTATTGAAATCGACATTTTTTTAATTCTTATATGAAATGTTGAATCAGCGACATCAGAAACTACCAGATTTAATGGCGATTTCTTTTCTACAAAAACTGTTGCATTTTCAATGCCCTCTCCTTAGTATTCGATATCGACTACCGTGATTCGGGCAAAGGTCATTTTGCCAAGATAACTTCATTTTAAGTTTGCATTACGAATGAAAAAATTGAAACTTCAGCATGGAAAATGTTACTCATACGCCATGTATGCGTATGTACGAGTACGCCCATGTACGATGTGGTGTAGTTGTACAAAATCCCGTAACGCTTCCACAAAGTCCTGAATGAATTCTGAAAATTTCCGAAAAAAAAACGAAGAAATTTCCGACAAAAGTCCCCAACTATGACGAATCCTTTCGCTTATTATTTAAAAGTACCAGGGTGGTTGACATTTAATGGAAGTGCACATACTTTTTTAAGATCTTAAAAAAAAAACACAACAATATAAAATAAAAGATCAAAATAAGTGAACAAACCTATTCAGAATTACGCCAGTATGACAATAGATATTTTGGCTGCCTATCGAGCCCTACACGCAAAAAAAAAGGTGCAAGCGAATTTTTTTCAAATTTTATTTTTGGCACTAATAAATAAAGAATCTAGTCAAATTTCCCGCTCTACGTGGATAGTATTAAGCAAAAAAAGTAAGAAAGGGACTTCATGTTTTTCAATAAGGCGTCATTCTAATAGTAACTACTAAATACGATACAGACTTCGTTTCAACATGTTATGTGTCTTTGGTTAACTGCGTAGCTGTTCGAATATTCTTTCTTTCCCGTATTCACAAACATATTTGTAAATATATTTATTGATATTGTTAGGCAGTACATGTGAGAAGCGCCGAATTCCGCTTTCACTTCAATAAGCTGACAATCCACTCGAACAAATATTGTATAAAATTGAGCGAGTGGTGTGCAAACGGTAGTTTCTTGCACGCATGCCATTGCGGCTGAATGCACGCTAGAGTGAGTAAAAGTGCTCTTACACACACTCGCATTTTAGCCTTCTTCTATATTTCGTGCATTTACATAGTTACATGTGTATCTCTCATTCAATTTTATACTCACAAAGTTATTTCATGAAATGCAAAATACTTACGCAATATTGTAAATAGGTATTTACTTAAGTATTTCCTGAGTATGGAAATGCTAGCAATTTCATGAGAAAAATATGAAGAGCGCATTCAAAATTTGTAATGGTTTTAACGAAAATTCTTCTTATACATTTTTATACAAATCATCAGGCACAAGCTTGAATGCCTCTCATATGTGAGTAATGCTTGCAGGGGAGGTGTAAATATGTAAGCGTGGCTAGTACATGTAGGCTATGTACGGATATTAAAGGTATTAAAATTTTTTCTTTTCCGACCACCCCTAAAACTGAAGGATATCGAAAATAAGCAGACTCGAACTTTTTATTCTGATATCGGTTAAAATTTCGTCCCGTTTATATGTACAAAGGCTTATTAGCTTCCTTGCTGAAAGAAGGACAAATTCATATTCCAAGGAGGTCAGTGCCAGGAGATTACCACGTTCTTTCTTATGCACTTTAATAAAAGTGTATCGAAACATCCCTTTCGAATACTTGTATGCATAAGTCTTATGCGGATTTCAAATGATAATCTATGCAGCTCGTAGAGACAGCTTACCTCTTGCTGTAAAAAGGGGCTTTACAATAGACGTAGAAGGTATTTTCCAAGATTTAACGTTTTCCGGAAATCCACGTCTCAGGCAATACTGATAAGTTCCAATATTTTAATTTCTTCTCTAATACGTGTCTTTGCATCTCTTTTCTTTCTCGTCAAGATATGTAAATATTCGGCACTTCATTCGGTTTAAGTTCATATCGCTAAACATGCGAAAATAGGCGCTCCACAAAATGTGGTCTCCATTCTACTCTTTGGATACTTATGGTGACTGTAAGCCCACAATATAAAGAGCTCTAAAAGAGAATAGTTGGGTGGAAACCTAATCAAAATACTTAGGACTTTATTTTAAATGCAGGGCCCACTTCAAGAGGAATGCAAATATTCCTCAATTTTAACTAATCAATAATCATACCCAATATTGTGCCTGTACGGCGCTTTAAAAAATTTCAAAGCTACACAGATAATTTAAGACCCCTAGAGAATATTGTCTACCAAGTCTGTATTTTCTGTACGAGTTTCTCTAAAAACGATGACTGCATTGAGCCCTTCCCTCGCCTCCACAAAACCAATGGCTAACCTTTTCATAACATGTACGAGAGAGGCCAAGCTAATTGACGATTAACAGCCCTATTCCTAGAATAAACTTTTGATCGTTTGCTTTCCCTCTGAGCACCGGAGACTTTTGTTGAAAATACAGATCTCCCACAACGACGCAGTTCACCGGAAACACCCAAACCGATACTTTAAACCAAAATTGCTTCCCTTACATGTCAGAAGGAGCCTCTACGAATTAATAGATTACTTTAATAAATATATGAAAGAATCTTGGTAACCGAGAGTGTATAACCACCACCTATAGCAGAGCGAGAGCTTAAGCTGTCTCGGGAAGCCCGTGTCACTCTGTTATAATTGTAGAGATAGATTTTAAGAATAAATCAGCGCTGCATCCTTCACAAAACTTCGTCTACTCCTAAAGTACTCTAAAAGTTTAGACGAGTTGTTTAGAGGTGGGCAGAGTGTATGGTCATCCTTTGGACAACCGGATATAGACTCTTCAATCCCCGTTTTGTTGAAATGGCCTCACACCCGAAGAATAGTGTATTTTAGCTGATTCACAAAATCGATAAAGATCATTTGAACAGATCCCTTATTTATGGGAATGTCTATTTAGCTTGACTTCTACCATAGGTAGGTTAATTCGAGGTCTGCATTCTTCAAGTTTTGAAAAATACTTCCAAGACTTACCTACTGAACGCTTTCACTTTATTACTTCCTTTGTAGGCTTTAAAATGTATCTACCCTTTAAAAACAAATGTTTTGTTCTGACGTGAGAAAATGACACTTAGTGAGATTATTGGGTGTCACCTGGTCTTGGTGTTCATCTCTAAACACATCACGACCAAATGCCTCATACCTAATTCTTGCATAGGCAAGGTAGAGGCACAAAAAGTGTTCCGCCGGCTCACCATCTTCAAGGCATGACGGGAATAGAGTTGTAGACAGGCCTTCTGAGATTGAAGGCAACATGAGTTTTGCCACCATGCAGCCCCTCGATGCTTCCCAGTTATTGCTTATCGATGTCCGAAGAGGGGCGTGCTATAACTGATTGCGGAGCGAGGAGTGCCTGGTCTGAGCCAGCTCTGGCCAAATGGTCAGATGGCTCGTTGCCATGTACTGCCGAGTGACCTGGCACCAAGCAAGCTCGTTATGTTTACCAACATGACTTAGTCGAGACTTGCATTGCCGAACCATTTCGGAAGTATGTAGTTACGAGGGCTGGTCAATGCCTTAAGTGTAGATTGGATGTCACTGCACACACGTAAACACCTTCCCCTCCACCTATTGTCCACCAAGAAGTCCATGGCCTTAAGGATTAAAAATACCTCCGGCTGGCCTTTAGGGCCTCCCGAAGTATGAAAACACAAAGCAACGTTAAGTGCAGCTGTGCGCCTATAAACTGCTCAAAAAAAATAAGAGAGGTTTTAAAAACCGGAAATTAATGCTGTATGATCCATATGCTGGTCGAAATGAACAATTTTTTAAAACTCGCTACCTGTCAGGATTGCATGAGAACCCTTGCTCCTGCAAACTTTAAGCAAAACAAAATAAGAATCTTAGAGCTTCAAAGGCTTCTTCAAAGTCTCATTGAGACCGTTTTTTTCCCGAAATACGGCCTCCAAAACCATAGGAAAACTTGGTCCCCTAATTATTTGGAGTGGTGTTTTATCTGCCTACATTAATAGATGAAGCCAAACAAACATTTTTGGTCTTTTCACGCCAACTTAGACCCCCGTCTGGACCACTTTATGAATCACTGATCTAACCAATCTATGCAGGTATAGGTTATCTACTCCAACAATGCTAACCAAGAATACAACGAAGGATTTCTATATCTAACACCACTCATCAAAATCTTCAACTTATACATATTACTAATTTTTCGTTGCAGTTAGGAAAAAGGTTTTAAACACAATTTTGTTTTACTTACCGATTCAATTTTCATGAGCAGCGAACCCTAAATCCATCATTTTCAGCTCACAATATTTCTGCAATTAAAAATAAATATATTTATGATTACATTAAGCTTAATTTTTTTTTTTTTTTTTTTTTGGAGATATGAAGTATTTCATCAGAATATTAAATGAGATGCTAAAAATGCAAATTTCCATTAAAAGGACAACTTCACAAGATTTATTTTTCTGCGTACCTTCAGCCACACTTCTAAATACTTTTTGCCACTTTGGCTGAGACTAACTCACTCTGCCACTCTGCCACCCTGCCACTTACATATATAAGTAAGCATAATAATATCTGAAGGAGCGAAATCTTAACCAACAATCCATAGCCATCCATTTGCCCGCAAATTTGCTAATGCCAATACCAGTTTGCACAACTGAAGTGTTTGAGTGTTTTTTTTCTTCACCCTTCCGTCATTTGCATCTTTTCGCGCGCATTTATGAATTCACAACATAAACAACAAATGGAGTGAGAAAAACACAATTGCAAAATCAACATAAGAAAACTTGCGAAAAAATACGTCAAAAGGCGTAGATTTTTTCTTCATTTTTTTTTTTCAAGCTATCTACAACTTGCCACCATTACACGCTCAACGCTTGACAATTTGACGCATCGGAATTCATGACAGGAATATCGCAAAATCAAATTCAAATTCAATGCATAACTGAAATTGCCATTGAAGTGGCGGTGAATGGGCTGAGTGGGCAGAGCGAGCAGAGCGAGCCAACAAATTCGCACAGAAGCCGCTGAATAAGGCAAAGCGCTAGCTGGAGTTAAATTTAGCGCAATAATGAGCATGAATTTGCATGCAGCTATAGCAGCTCAACTCCCCCAAAGATAGAGAAAATGTGTTTCTATTTCTCTTCTCTTGCTGAAATATCAATAGGGGGGTATTCTCGGAGTCTTGCAAAGGTTTTTTACCGTGCAGTCCATGCAATCCGTGCATCGTGCAAGGGCTTTGCAAGACTCCGAGAATACCCCTTATACGTTTTAATGCATTTTTATTCAGAAGATGCTTAAAAAAGGAAACAAAATAGCCGCAAAGTGGACCAAATAAAAAAAAAAAATAACAGGAAATTTTAAAATTCATATCTTGTAATGAGCTTGCAGCCTTAAAACTAAGGATTGGCATGGAGTAGGCCAGGCTATGAAAAATAAAAGTAAAATATTTGCGAAGAATGCGTTAAGGTTTCTTTTTTGCGGACTTGTGCATAGAAATCCTCAAAGCTTTAGCGGCTTAAGAGCGTCCTAAATAATTCATTTTGATACCTAACAAAGGTAAGCAAAAAATTTTAAAAAGTATGAAAGTGAAAAATAAATCACTTCTTACATTTCTTCATGGCCGAGGTGAAAATCGTTTGTACCCAACGCGTGGATACACGCGGGCATTGCTCGGTACACTTTGTGCGCTGTGTGGTTGCTTGATTAGAACAAAAAAAAAATAAAAAATAAAAAAATTCCCTAGCAATAACTTAAGTCCCGCGCTTTGACTTTTTCTAGGTCTCCGCTATATTGCGATGGTTCCATGTTTTGTCCATGGCATCTATCATGCGGCAAAGCCAAACCGTAGAGTGTATTACTGCCTTTAGGAAGCTTGCCGTTTGAATACGGCGTAGAATTGTAGGTCCCTCCATTTGTGTTAACATAACATCAGGAGGGATACCACAAATTGGAAGAGAAGCTGGGTCAAACACTTAGCAAAAAGGAGAAGCGCGAAAATTATATATTATTAAATATAAAAGGAAAAAATACTGCAGAGAGTAGTGATAGTAGTCAATAAGGAATCAAAACCTTTCTTTGCAATGAAAACAGATTCTCATAATATAAAAAAAAAATCGCCGTTCGGAGTCAGCAAAAGACTGTAGGTCCCTCTTCTTTGTGTGAGAATACCAAGGCGTACGCAACAAATCGAAGGAGAAGCTCGGCCAAACACTAACACAAATATTGTGTAAGTGCCAATCTATTAAGAGAGAACAATCAATAACGGTATCACAGAACATAGTCAAAATATGTCTTCAAAACAAACTTTTTATAGAATGAAAGTCAGTATGCTTGATATAACCAGTAAATACTTGCAGAGGGTATAACAATTGTGATTGCACAAAGTTTCGATTCAATGAAAAAAAAAACCTTTTCCACACTCTCTTTCGAGAACCCTTGGCATATACGAGTAATTTATGTGTTCTGCTTCATTCTTCCCCGTATATTTTTGCTCCTATTTTATTTTTTTTTTTTACTGTTATTTTGAGGGCAGTTGCATGCAAATGAGTTTGTGGCGACGATCCGCTTGGATTATTATTTCATGCCAAGTTCATAAAATAGTATGTATGTATGTAAGCATGAAAACGAAAAATGAATTTGTGACTTATTTGCAACGTTGCGATGGCGTAGGAGGAAGCGAATTGGAGTAGGGTTTGTAGTCGGGATCGAGCGACCCTCAAAAAGTACTTAACTTGTTAATAAGCAAATGCAATTCCTCACACTCCAAAACAAGAAAATATTTTAAAATAACCGTGTATACTTTGCAGAAAATAAAACGAATAAAAAAAATGCATGAATGCAATAAAACTTTTCTTCCCCACGGTCACCGGCAAATCGCTTGAGAAAGCAAAGAAAATTTGAATATAAATAAAATAATTTTTTTTTTTTGTCACGCTTGCCCGTGTATAGGGCGTGGCATCGGAATTTTTGTTGTAAACATTTTTATTTTATTTATTTTTATTTTTTGTTCTCGTTCATTCCCCCCGGCACCTGCCGCTGCCGGTTTGTTTTTATGGTGGATTTGCTCGCGCGTTGACTATAAAAATTGACGAACTGTGAAAGCGGCAAATGTGGCGGCAATGACGCCAACGTAGCAGATGACATTTGAGCGTCACACACAAAAATTTACATGCTACGCACACACAACGAATACATAACATTTTGTGAATATTCTTCACCTGTATTTTGCTGCATAAGCGCAAGACGCTATCCGTATACCTATACCTATGTGCGAGTGTAGTTGTTGCTAGCTCTCCAACTGGTACTTGTAAGTGTAAATTTGTTGCACGACACTCATGGCTGCCACATTTTAATTGAATTGCTCGTTTGCGCGTCGTCAGTCGTTTGGTCGCATGGTCGCATGGTTTCTCGGTGGCTCGTTCGTTATTTTGTTGACTATTTGGTCGCGCTCTGCTGATTAGGAGGTGCGAATTTATATTCTATTCCTTTGGCACTCGTCAATTTCCCTTTTCAACTTTGTTATTTTAACACCCATTTCTGCGTTTCCATACTCCATTCTATGTTCTTACGCACCTTTGGCAACATCAGCATTTTAATGTAGCGTTTTATTGTAATTGCAACATTTTCCGCAAAACAGTCGGGCAACGAGCGGGAATAAAATATTCGTAGGAAATAGACATGAATACTTACATACATAGCGAAAACCTAATGTCCATGGTGTTTATGTATTATGGTTCATAACTTGGAGATGGCTGGCGACAATCACAGTTTTATATTATAAGCCTAATAACTCTGAGGGGTTTTTTTTAATATTGGAAAGAGAAGTGTCATTTTTAGTTAAATACACGATATTTTATATTAGGTAATTCGATTTTTTACTACAAATTGTGTATCTATTACTCTGCACAAATTATCGAGTTTATAATGGAAAGCGAAAACTCGCACTGCGACTTTCCCAAAATGAAAATAACAATTACACCGTGCCTTAATTTCAGGGCTATTGTATGGGCGGAATGGTTCCAACATAGGGTGAAAGACCATACAGTAAAACCTCCATTATATTTTCCGGTAAATTTTTTTTTTAATTGCCTTACCTAATGCAATTTTTTCCGAGAGTTTTTATAAAAAGTTAAGTGAAATATGTGATTTACATACAGTAAAATACCAAACTATTAGGCATAGCCGAAGACAGCACTGCCCGCACTTTAACCCCAAAAGGATAGTTATTCCCAAGGGGTATATGTTTTGAAGTATGTAAAATACCGAATCTTTTTCCGACCCCTGAAACGCAGCAGTTTTCGTATAAAGTGTTCATTCGTGATAACAAATTAAAATCGGATTTTAAAATCCGCAAGGCATAAGTCCGGATAACGAAAACTGTGGATAGTACCTATTAAGGAATATAAAAAAAAGTTTCTACACGCAATTTTGGCTTTTGGGCACGTTGCCGATCCCTAAAAATGCTTCGATTTTAAACTTTTTAGTATATGAATGAAGGCAGAAAATTAACTATAAAAAACCCGCATGGACCAGAAAACGTGCAGTCGCCCATACCTTCACAATTACTTCATCTAAGACAATGTTATTAATTTAAAGATGTAAAATTGTCAAAGTGCTACCCACTTTCCTCATATACTGTAGCTTGTATGAAAAAATTTGATACGAATTTGCAATAACTTAAAAATGCCACCTTCTTCCCTCACATTTGCAACGATATTAGCAAACATTTTACATTATTTAGCTCCATTTTTTATAGATATACATACATACATGCATAGTTTTTTATAGATCCTATACATCATATATTTACACTACCTATTAATGCGTGAATTTCCCGCAGCTCACTTTATATAAAATGCAGTGCCAACATTGCCTGTTCATGCTCCTTCTTCTTTTACAGCAAATTTACTGCGGTTTGTTACCCCCCCTTAATTCAAAAAATCACCGCAAATCAAGTGTTTCTCATGACATCTGTCAGTCTGCAGATATGTATGTCACAAATGTGCCACATATGCAACTAGCCCAAACTATATGCATGAATTCAATCCAATTTAACTTTATAAAATTCACTTGATTCCGCTTTCTTTCACGTTGCACATGCCACTTTAGAAAGGCACTTATGTAACTGTGTGTATATATACGCGTATGTATGTATGTACGTACATTCATCATAAGTTGCCAACAAGCAACCCTCGCAAAAGTTGAACGATTCAACTAACTTTTTATGCATCCACTTCAACACACCGCACTTCGCTTTACCTGTAATTCCAACATACATATATATATATATATATGTAAGTATGTCATA